ACTAAGCCACCCAGGCGCCCCAGTAGCATACAATTATTAATTCACAATTATTAGTCTTGATTTATCCGAAATTTATTGAGAATGTTAAATGCCACTTATTATTTCAAACTCTTTATATAAATTAATGAATTTAGTATTCACATAAACCCGAGGCGGCAAAGAAAGGTTCACCAAAGGTCACTCGGGATGGGTCTGATAGGCAATCAAGAGCATGTCTCTACTAAGCCTCCTTTGTAAGGTCCGTAAATGTGAGACAGATCTTAAATACAAACCATCTGTTCCGTGTTCCCTTTCTGAGTCTTTGCTCCATGAAAGCTTGTTTACAGACAAGCTTATCTCTAAGAAATGGTCCTTGAGTGTGGTTTCAGTAGAGGCAGAAACCTTTCTTTCTAGGGAGTTTGCATTTTGGTTACCTGTCCTGTTGTGTTGTCGTCCATATAAAAAGCCAGTTTGTGGTTGAGTCCAGTTATGGATGAAACCAAATATCTCACAACAAAGGACTGGCACTAGCCGGTTGGCACTCATACGCCAATGTGTGCAAAGCACAGAGCTCTATTGGTTTTTTTGGACAAATCATGCACACATTTCTCCCAGTATTTGAGTCAGAGCAAGAAATGACTGAAGACAGAGGAAGCAACAAGAAAGTTAGAGACCTTGACTTTTCACTGGTGAAGAAATAACAGTCCTTGGTTACCTACCCAGCCCCGTAAGCCTACAATCATGAAGGAATCTTGCCAAGAGGGAAAAGCAAAAAAGCATATGGATTCAAGCTTGGTTCGAGTCCTCCAACTCCAGCTCTGGAGCCTTTGCTAGAAGCTGGCCTCCGGTGAGCATCCTGCCATCTTGGCACAAGGCTCTGTAGTGGAAATTCTCTCCACCCAAAGACCAACTGCTTCTAAAAAATTCTTAAGAATTCCTAATTTAAAATTTTCTCAAGGAAAATCAATCCTGTTGTCATTGGGTTGAACCTTGTCTTTTCAGCTGGATTACACGAACCTAAGTATTTTCTTTCTCAAGTGTAACTGCTGTTCCAGTGGTCAGAAATTACCCCAGCATTGTTTTTATGGTGTCTTTTCCAGCTGACAAAGTCTGAGTTTTTTAGGTCGTGGAGAGGCCACTTGGGAGAACATGAAGGAAATACCACTGATCCCTGTTAGTACTAAGACTGGTTAGATTGCCTGAGTCTCTCATAGTCTCTGCCCCAAAGCAAAGCAGAGCCAGAAGTGGGGGAGAAATGTGCCCTGTGAAAGGGAGGCCTCTGACATACTCATATAGTAAGAGTCCATGACTGTTCCTTTTTGTTCAAAACACCATTCGCCTTCTCTATTCTTCATGAGTCTTGTGAGTAACAGGGACAATAAAATTTCAGAGTAAACAAGAAGGCTTTGCAAAGTTCTTCAGTAACTATCCCAAGACACGGAGTACCTCTACTACTGGAGAAATTGTTTGGAAATTCCCCAGGTTGAAAACACAAGGTCAAGTAACTTCTTTTGCTATGACTAGAACTATACCTCTCCACCAAACGAAAGTTTCATTCCATATTGAAAAGTCGCAAATAATGACTAGGATATTCAGACTCCATTGCAACGTGTATGGACCCATTTGTAAGTGTTCAAGGGTACCCTAAAATCGGGGTTCCTGTCTACATTCCATCTGTACAGCTTCACCGGGATTAACCTGGTGCAGATGAGATAGGCAACCAGACACGTCCTCAGCAACCTTACTAAATTTTTCTCACCAATGCTGATAAAATATTTGTCAATTTGTCTCCCTTGAAGTGGGTGATTTCTTCTTAAATGTTGGCCAAGTTTCCAACTGAAGTCTTCTGGAGATGCCAAGCGGCCAAGGTAACAGATTATCTTCCCCATGTGGGGTTTTTCCCAAAAAATTTTTTTTTCATACTCTAAAACAAGTATTGTGTCACAAAAAATGTTGCTCAATAAGGCTCTTTGGGAGTGGAAGGGGAAATGAGATACTGAGCTCTTGACAGTCATTTGTGGCAGCTTCATTGATTTTACCCTTCCTTTTTTTCCCTTTAGTTGCACTTGGTGAGGGTTTAGAGGCCCAGCAACAGACTATTTTCCATTCCAGGTTTTGGTTGCGTCTTAAATCCCTGCTTTCTGACTTAAGGCCATTCAGTGAGGAAAGAGCTTTGGTCATATCTGCTTCAAGATCTACACCTGAATGTTTTCCAGAGGTGTTAAAGTCTCCAATGTATTCATCTTTCTATTTGTTTGTGACCCTGGTCTCCAAAATTTCTGTCTAATATTTATATTTTTTTCTGAATTTCTGATTTCATTACAGAATTTGACACCTTTAAAGCCACAATCAGAATATTCACAGTACGTTTTCCATTGAACTTTAGCACATACGCGGTTCCTAATAACATATAAATCAATGGATAGGGATCTGGGAACTCTGAATCAAATGCCCTTAGAACCACAGCAAATTGCTCTATAAATTTCCGCCTACCCTGTACGGGCTTTGCAAAGCCTTTGAAAATCACTTTCAGACCACAATCAGGGCTCAAGTTCCACCATAAGGGGCTTGTTCTGATCTGGATAACTTTAAGAGCCAAGTCAGCTTTCAGAGTGGCTAGCTGGCCAGGAGGAAAGGAGAGCTGATCAGAGAGAGTGCTGGAAGTAAGGGATCATAGAGGGCCACAGGATAGAAGAAGACAGAGGGTAAGATCCAAACTTTTAGGTTCAAGTTATGGTTTGGGCCAGGCAGAAAGAAAATCTTTCACTTTTTTCACTTGTCTCCTTCACGGAATGTTTGGAGACGCAATCATGGAATCTGCATCTCTCTCATAAGCTTTCTCATATCAATAATAATAATAAATAAATAAACACAGGGCATTGAATGTTTGCAATTTTAGTCCCTTTCCATTCTAAAAAACCACTTCTCAAATGAACAATTTTGTTCCAATGTAAGGTTTCCCAAAATGGCTACCAAACTAGTGTTGGTAAAACTGTGCCATTTAGGAAATGACTCACATGCGTTAGTTATGGTATAAATACACGCAAGAGGCCTTCAGGAGACACACACTTGGGTTTAGTCTGAGACAAACATGGGGCAGTCTGGCAATGGTCAGTCTCCTATGGTGGACCTGACAGATCTCGGAAAACACGAAGTTTAGACATGAACTTCCACTGATCCGGGAGCAACAGAAGATAACAAAAAGCACGGTGACCAAAACCAATGTTGTTTGTAATGAGACTGCTTTCTTCCAGGGACACATATCTATAAATACGAGCAAATCATCAAAGAATCCCTGGCAAAGGCAACATCACAGGACACAATACACTTAGTATTTCATAGCTTGATGAACACTAGAACTCAGACCTAATGGGACACTCACTGCAGGGGCCTCAGTGGCTCCCCGTTTCTGAACTTGGGACTTTGGGCTTCAGCACAAAGGGCATTTTAAATAGGATCTCGGTAGGACTTACAGGTTGTTTAGCTCACCAAAGTATCACCAGATAGCCTTTCAATAAACAAAAGTCTGGGGCGCCTGGGTGGCTTAGTCCGTTAAGCGTCCAACTAAGGCTCAGGTCATCGTCTCGTGGTTCAGGGGTTCCAGCCCCGCATCGGGCTCTGTGCTGACAGCTTGGAGCCTGCTTTGGACTCTCTGTCTCTCTCACTCTGCCTCTGTCCCGCTCATGCTCTGTCTCTTTCTCTCTTTCACAAATAAACAAAGATTAAAAAAAACTTTTTAAATAAACAAAAGTCACATTTAGTAGAACTTATTGCAGTAAGGGACAGGACCATTGTGACAGTTTTAGCAGTTTCCCAGGAGTGCTCAGAAGCAGAATAACCTCAGAGCTTTGGGCTCTGCACTCAGGAGGTTAAGAAGGGATAGGACTGGGCAGAGTCTGTCTGGGCAGAAGTCTGGGCAGAAGTCACCTTTCAGGACTGGCTGACACATGAAGGGGAGGGTCTTGATAAGGAAGCTGTTATTGATAAGAAGGCTATTGGCCAGAGTGGGATTAATGTTTTGGATATATTGATTTGTCAGCATTTACTGCAGCCAACCGTGGATTTAATCACGTTTGCAATCTTCTCTTTCCTAGGCTAAAGCTTCCTAGAAGGAATAACTACATCGCGTTGACCTAAGTGCTTTTATCGTTGTCTCCAACTCATGTTTATAGACGGTCTCAATTCTCAAAGACTGATTCCAGTCAAAGCAGAATTTCAAATGAAAACATCAGATATTACAGAAATGGACATACACCAGTAAAAGAAAAGAATTGATTAAAAAAACACATTATGAGCATTTCATTTTATTCATTCATTTTTTTTTATTTGAGAGCGAGCGAGCAGGGGAGAGGGGCAGAGGGAGAGAGAGAGAATCTTAAGCAGGTTCTATGCTCAGCTCAGAGCCCGACAAAGGGCTCGATCCCATGACCTAAGCCCAAATCAAGAGTTGGACACTTAACTGACAGAGCCACCCAGGCGCCCCACATTTCATTTTATTTTTTTAAATTTTTATTTATTTTAGAGATAATGAGAACACAAGTGAGGGAGAGGAGCAGGGTGTGTGGGGGAAGAGAGAAGACGAGAGAAGGGGGAGGAGGGAGACAGAGAGAGAAAGCCCTGTGGTGGCTCAACCCCATAAACCGTCAGATGTGACCTGAGCTGAAACCAAGAGTCAGATGCTCAACTGAGCCCCCTATCTGCCACATTTCACTTTAAAACTCACTCTCAAGAAGTGAATAGTACAACAAGTTCAAACTTAATATCTGGCAAGAAGGGGGCACACAGAATTAATTCCCAAAATCAACCATGTACAAAGTCACAAAGAAAGCCTCAAGGCAGCTCTGAAGTCAACCTCATCTATAGTACCACTAAGTATAATAAAATTAAAAACTATTAACAAACATTTCATGGGTCTTTTTCCAATGACAAAAGAAATTAATAACTTCTCCAAGAAAAAAGCCGAAAGAAAATTATGGTAAATGTACAACATCTCAAAGAAAAAGAGTCAAAAGAAAATGATGATGACTTTACAAGAGCTCGCCACAGAAAACACAAAGGCCGAACGCAGCAAGATAAGGTAAAACACAGCCAGTCTCCCCCTTTACCGCCAAGGCACTCTTCAATACGAATGCACGCTGCTCTTCTGAGATTTATCTTTCTTTCTCTCAAATATACTTTTTGCCAGCATTTCCTGTACTTGAAATAAGAACGGGGGGGGGCGGGGGGCACCTGGTGGCTCAGTTGGTTGAGCAATCCGACTTCAGCTCAGGTCCTGATGTCCCCCGGTCTGTGAGTTCGAGCCCTGTCCTGTGACAGCTCAGAGCCTGGAGCCTGACTGGGACTCTGTGTCTCGCTCTCTCTCTGCCCCCTCCCCTGCTCATGCTCTGTCTGTCTCTCAAAAATAAATAAATATTAAAAAAATTTTAAAGAAAAAAAGAAACAAGAAACAGTGGGAAGTAGATAACATTTTTGAGAGGAAAAAAATGTCTGTGTGTGCTTTCCTCTGTATGTCAAATAAAATAGATCATACAGTGAGTATGACACATTTTGATACATTTTCATTATTGATTTGTCGTCTTCACACTATGCCCCGCCCTCGGAGTGTCAAAACCGGAGAGTCTCAATGTGGTGGCCCAGTAGGGTCCTAAGTCCACATCTTACCCCAAACCCATTAAACCCGGATCTCTGAGGATGCACTCAAGCGTGTGTTTTTGAAGCCTCCAGTTTGGTAGTTCAAGTGCAAAGTGGAGAATGGCTCTCCTAGGGGATGGTTAGGAGGAATCTCCAGCCAGGACTTCCTTCCTATACCCCACTCTGACCTTGCCTCCTCCCTTTCACAGCTTTATCAGTACCTGAACACACATACCGCAAACTGATCAAACAGAAGTAGAAAGACAGCAAGGAGAAGATCCCAAACCATCTTATCGTGCTGTGCTCTTGGGCTGACTCTCTGAGTCGTCGGAACACAATAAATAACAAAGCTTAGATCTTGGGCCACAGGAATCCAACTTCACTAATAATGGGTAACGTGCATGCGACTAACACCAGCGCACATGAAAAATTCTGGAGGAGTCTGGTAGATTTTTAGTGTGAGTCAGCGGTCATTTGGCTGCCAGAAAATGAACTCCATCAGAGGCTGTATCAATAGACGGGCACCGTCTGGGCAGGGAAGACCCCTTTCTCCTGCCCGCCAGGACACTTTAAGTCCTGAGTCATGTTGTGAGCAGCGCACTGTAGGACGAACATGGAAAATGAGATTAACGTTGATGAGGGGACGCGGAACGGTCATCTTTGCAAGAAGGCCATTCGGCTGGGAAGAAAGCTAGCCTAGGGAAAGCGTGACAGATGTTTTCAAAATATTCGAAGAACGCACATGTGGAAGTTAGATTAGATGTATTGTGTCAAGTCCAGAAGTCGAAAGCAATGGGTAGACGGAAGGAAATGCTCTTCGGCGGTGTTGGTGGTGAAGAGCACAGAGCACTGGGGTCCCTGGAGAGAGGTGACCTTCAAGCGTGCAATGGGCGAAGGCGGCTTCAGAACTTGCAAAGCACCGAATCGGATCACAGAGGGTCCCTTGGTCTGTCTAAGGTTTTAGGGTCGGTGTACTGAAAAGTTGCAGCTGGGTGGCTCGCCCCTCTGCCACCGTGCAGTCCGCCCCAAGGAGGCAGACACCAGGGCAGCCAGCGCAACGGGGACACGCAGTGACCTCTCCGCAGAGGTCACCTTCCTACAATACGACCCGCACACGCGGCTCTGTATCACCCCCTTTCTCACGGAACCCAACTTCCCTGCACACACTGGTGCCCTGTGACTGTGCTGTCGGTGAGGACTCGGGGCCCCGTCCACACCGGCCGCAAGTCCGGGATTCCGGGGGGGGGGGGAGGTCGTCAGCCGTCAGCCCCCCGCACCCCGCATGCCGAGCTCAGGCCGCACGTGAAGCTGCCCGGAGGAAGGGGCGAGGGGCCGCGCTCCGAGGTCCCGGCGGGGTCCCCGCCATTGTGAGGGCTCTCTGTCTCTCTCTCTCTCTCCGGGACCTTCTGGAAGTGCCGGGGGCGGGGGGCACCCTGCAAACCCGGACGCAGGGGGCGCGGAGGGCGCGGCGAGCCGGGCGCGGGGCAGGAGCCCGGGAGCCCCCTGGCGAGGACAAAGGCGCGGCGGCCCCAGCGGGTCGCGCTCCCCCTGCGCCGCGGGCCGCGCGCTCTCGGGGAGGGGGGGGG